CTGTATTTTCTTAAGTTGTAGGGAAAGGCTACAGGGATGGATTTTAAGAGATAGTAATAGTTGTATGAGTAGTCGTCACAGTATTATAAACTTCTTTAATGTCTTTATATGCTACAGTCACAGACGATATTTGAACTTAATCCAGTGCCATTTCCATCTTGTTCAACCGAGAAAATGGTTCTTGTGGGAATTCTTTTTACTGTTTCCACCTGCCACAGGGTATTAGCAGATTAGAGCCAACACGTGGGAGGTGCCCTGTGTCATCTAGGGGAACAATGGCACATTTGTTTGCCTTTCTACCTTCAAGGATATTTGAAGGTCAACCTTTGAAGAGACTGTTTTGTGAACATAAAAATAGGCATGTCCTTGTGTGAAAGGAGATAAATATTTGGCTAAAATAAGGATCTTTCAATCACATAATTCTAAATAGGAAAGAAAGCCCAGAATAAGACACCAGTTATCTTCAGATCTGTCTTTTCTTCAGTGTGCCCAGGCCTTTAGCCACCCCTAGACATTTCCTGCTCAGGGAAACCCTATCTTAGAGATGCACAGGATCCCACTGAAGCTTCAAACACTGGTTAGCAACCCTACCCTACTGTTGTGTTGAAAGAAGTATTTTTCTTTCCCCCACTTTGCATCCCATAAAGAACTGAAATATGCAGATTTCTTGATGTTGTTCCTAAACTGATGAATGACAACGTAATTGTGGTTAAAAATTTTTATTTGGTGGTATTCCTAAAATTTCCTTTTTTATACAATGGAATGAACAATAGGTTGCATAATAGGATGTTTTGTACATATTTAAGAAATATTCATTGAAGACATGAACCCTAGAGCAGATAGATCCTTTTTTGTTGTTGTTGTTGTTGTTGTTACTGGGGATTGAACTCTGGGGCACTCAACCACTGAGCCACATCCCCAGCCTTTTTTTGTATTTTATTTAGAGACAGGGTCTCACTGAGACTGAGTTGCTTAGCGCCTTGCTACATTGCTGAGGCTAGCTTTGAACTTGTGATCTTCCTACTTCAGCCTCCAGAGCCACTGGGATTACAGGCATGCACCACCACCCCGGCAAGCAGTTCTTAAATGCCATAGAGATATTATTATTTTTGACATCCATCATTTCAAATGAAAGAAAACGCTTTTTAGTTTTATTTTCTTCTTGAAGAAAAAAGTAACTATTTTGAAAATGCTGATAGACCATAACAACTGGCAGAAGACACTCCAGAAAGTCATCTGTGAGAATTAGTATTAAACAGAAAATGGATAATTGAAAAGAGTGATTAGTGTGAGGTTTCCAAGGATTGGGTTAGGGACATAGGAGCTAATATTAGAGACATGTGGCTAATTCCATAATCTCTCAGAAAAGAGAAATTGCACTTGGCTGAGTCATTGAAGGAGAAGTTATTTTTGACAGTTGTATCATGCTTCATTTCATGGTTCATTTTTAAAAATTTTCAAGATTAAAATCATTGAAGACCAAGGGATACAGATCTTCATATGAATAAGTACCAAACATGTACAGAAATAGGGGCCTTCGATGGGCAGAGCCCTGTTATCCTGCCCTGGAGACTTTTCCAGAAGTCTGGAGGAGGAGACATGGCCAAGCTTCAACTGGCCGCAGGTGCAGCTGCTCTTCCACAGGGCGAGAACAATGTCCGGAGTGAGTCGGCATTGGTTTGGCGTCCCCCGTGGTGACTGCCAGTTGCGTGCAGGCTTTTGTCTATTCTTTGTGTACTGTTCAACTCAGCTTGAGCCAAAAGAATCAGCAGCTAAAGCCGGAGCCTACCTTTCTGCAGAGAGCCTAGCGTTTGATGTTTCTGGACATTTTTGCAACACGCAACCCCTGCCCTGAGCTCCTGCTGCCTTACAAGCACTTCTCACATGAAAGTACAAGTCTCTAAAACGGTACCTTCTACACACTACACTGCCATCGAGGAGGCGAGCTGACAACGTTTTCTGACAGCTGGCTGTCCATCTGTTGTTTGATGTGCGGCAGAAAAGCACCGTGGGGTAATAAGGGAGATGGATGCTTCTCGGAGGTGACAACTCAGTGTTCCTGAGTGCACCCTCCCTTGGGCTTCCTGCCCTTCTGCCCTGCACGCCGCCTCTTTGCACAGGATCCAAAGCTTCCTCTTCCTATTGTAGTGCAGCTAAGCCATCTCCATTTACCTTCCTGGCTTTTCATGTACACGCAATTTCTTGATCACAACAAACATTTCAAGTACTTTGTTAGAGTTTGTCAGCGTGAACACAAAAGTAAAGGTTTTAAACAGAGTCTATTCTTTTTCAGTTTTTATTCTTGCCTGGGATTCTTTATTTTTATTTATTTGTGAACGTTTTCTGCCTATTCTAGTAAATTAGGAGAGACATTTCTGCTAGACACAAGGCTATAACTTTTCAAACTGTATCAGGTTGAAAATAATCTTTTCAAAAACTTGGATAATCTTCAGTTTGCTATATTTGATATTTATAAATAGTTCAAATATCTGCACGTACATGCCTATATCATGGGTATGCAGTTTAATACTGTTTGGACAGGTATCATTTGAGACAACTACACTTCTAAAAATTATACTTGGTGTTTTCAGAAAATGTTTTGTACTTTTTAATAGAATAATGCCTTACAAATATTGAATTATAAAGGAGCATGAATTATTTAAACATCAGAATTTTCTGAATTGCCATATTATAGATAAAATGATTATTATTTTTTATAAAGAGAGAGAATTTTTTAATATTCATTTTTTAGTTTTCGGTGGACACAACATCTTTATTTTTATGTGGTGCTGAGGATCGAACCCAGTTCCCCCGCACATGACAGGCGACCCGCTACCGCTTGAGCCACATCCCCAGCCCCTAAAATGATTATTTTTAAAGCCACATAAACAGCAAAGATACAAAACCCAAAATACAAATCCACTCATGAACACCATCCCTCTGTGTAGACACAGGCACTCAGCTATTGAAATCCCTTTCCCATGTGGCCTCTCTAGCCATCTTTACCTTTTGGTTTTCAACAATCTTATTATGTCTCTACATGATTTCTTTGAGTATTCTTTCTTTAGTATTCACTGAGCTTCTTGGGTCTGTAAATGTATGTCTTTCTCCAAACCTGGGAACTTTTCAAATAATTTTTCCTCACCCATTATTTCCTCCTCTTCTTTAGAGACTCCAATAACATAAGTGTATGTGTTTGGATGTTGCCTCTCAGATCCCTGAAGCTCTGTTCTGCTTTGTTTCTTCTCTTTCTTTCCACAGGACAATTAAAAAAAATTGTTTTTTATTTTTTGTCTTTAGATATGACAGCAGAGTGCATATTGGATCAGACAAGTTTGGGCACATTCAGGGTGGTATGACTGTAGGTGAGTGGAGTGTATTTTGACATATTATACATACATGGAGTACAACCCATTCCAATTAGGATCCCATCCTTGTACATATTGTGGAGTTACACAGGTCATGTGTTCATAAATAAGCAAAGGAAAATTATGTCCTATTCATTCTACTGTCCCCACTCCGTTCCCTTCATTCCCCTTTGTCTAATCCAATGAACTTCTATTTTTTTCCCCTCCATACTCTCCCTTATTGTGGGTTAGCATCCACATATCAGAGAGAACATTTGGCCTTTGATTTTTGGGGGATTGGCTTATTTCATTTAGTGTGATAGTCTCCAGTTCCATGCACTTACTGGCAAATGCCATAATTTCATTCTTCTTTATGACTGAGTAATATTCCATTACATATATGTGTATGTGTATATGTACACACACACACACACACACACACACACACACACACACACATATATATATATATATATATATAACATATTTTCTTTATCCATTCATTCCCACAGGATAATTTATATTGATTTATCTTCAAGTTTATTGACACTTTCCTCTGTCCTGTCTATTCTGCTACTGAGTTCATCCAGGGAATTTTTATTTCAGATACTATGTTTTTCAGTTTTAAAATTTCCATTTTTAAATGAGTTTTTAAAAATATATTCTATTTCTCTGTGTAAAACTTCAATTACCCAATCTGTTTCAAGAGTCTTCAAATCTACCTCATGAAGACCTGTTATACAAAGTTGCTTTTAATTTTATAATTCCAACATCTGGTTCATCTCAGGGTTGGCATTAGTTGCTTACTTCTGGGAGAAGTTGATTTTTTGTTGTGGTTGTTGTTTGTTTTAGCAGGCAAAAGCCTGCGAAGGTTTAATCCATAAATTCTGTCTTCCCTCTTTGAGCAGAATATCCAGTGTTGGTTCAGTTTTCTGTCTTCATTACACATTTTGTTTGTTTGTTTATTCTTTCTTGTACAACTTGGAGGTAATCCTGGGACTTGGATCAGTTTACTTTTAGGTTTGAGTAGGTCATTCTCAAAATCTCTCCTCTCACAGATTCCAATCTTCCCACACTCCCAAATGCCTCGATTACTGGTTTTTCTGGTCAGAAATATGGGGTTCTTTTAAAGTTTTAGTCTTGTGTGCTAAAGAAGCCCCCTATACCAAATATCTAGACCCACACTCAGGGTGAATCGATGATAGAAAAATTAGAAAGAGAGTTGGGGGTGATGCTCAGTGGTAGAGCATACACTTAGCATGTAGGAGGCCTGGGTTCCACCCCCACCCAGCACTGGAAAACAAGTGAAGGAGAACTACACTCCGGATCCCTCCACCCCTTTCCTACTGGAACCTCTTTTACTGCCATGCCAATGCCAAGCTATGATCGGCCTCATGTCAGAGAGAGAAAGAGAAGAAAAAGGGAAAATAGGACTACTCCCACACTTTTCAATGGTAATGGCTTCTCATTCTGCTCCTCTGGCCAGAAAGCTCTCCTTGTTCACATTTGCTGAACAGTTCCCTGATTTGGCCCACCCTGCAGTAAAACCACAAAGATAAAGATGCAAAAGTGCTCAAAATAAAAAAAATTGACCAAAAATCACTTCCACCAATGTGCTTGTTCTTTGAATTTTAAATTTCTGTTTCAAACTTATTTTTAAATTTATTTTCTTAAATTACCAGGTAGTTCTTTCTTTTTTTTTTTTTTTACAGCATTTTTATTTATATTCAGTGGGACAGAAAAAGTCAAACTCACAGTGTGATTGATTATGTATATGGAAAAATATATGTAGTTATGTATGATATTTAAAAAAATACCATAAGGCCAAAGTGATCATCATGGCTATTGTGGACTTGTGGGTTTATGTTTTTCCCCTTTGTCTTCTAATTTCTAAATGGTTTGTAACACACCCTTCATGTTTAATGCTGCATCTTCTAAATCTTTGATTAGCTCCATCTCTTTTGAAGGTGCATGAGTTTTTACAACGTTTAGAAACCATTAAATCCTGTAAGAGCTACTTTCAGCTACAAGATACAGAAATCACCAATTCAGTGGCTTTAGCAATAACATAGTATATTTTATCACATAATAAAAAATACACAGAAAAACCGTTGCAGTTGGTTGACTTCACACCCTCACCTGCCATCCTTAGGCTTGGCCTTGGTCCTCAGGGTTGCACAAAGGCTGCAGTAGTTCTAGACTGACTCCTTGATGCAGCAACATCTAGAGACTGAAAATATGTCCTCTTTCTCTTTGTATTACTTAGTATTAGGTTTAATTATAAATGACAGAAAACCTAAAATAGTAGTGACTTAAGTGTGGCTTCTTTTCTGTTCTGCCATGCATGGTCTCCATTCCTGAGGTTATCTGTGGTCCAAAGAGTTGTTTGTTCTACCTCCAGCTATCATACCCATATGCCACAAGGCAGAATAAAGAAAGGAGTAGACAAAGAGCCCTTGACAGAACATACACAGAGGAACATTCCCAGGAGATGCCACTCTCTGTGTTTGCTTTTATTCCATTGGCCAGAACAATGGGCTACAAAGGATGCTGAGAAATGTGTTATTTATTCTGGATTCTATGTGCCTGGCTAAACTTTATACTGCGGTATAATAAGTAAGTGGAGCATGCCTAGTTGGGGGGCCCCATTCTTGTACTCTTCAACAACCTTTCCCCGAAGCCAACAGCAGACTTCTTCTTATTTCTTATTGGCCAGAAGAGTATTACCAGCCATGCCCAGACCAACCCTAGTAAATAAAGGGTGTTGCCATAGTAACTTCCATCCAACTCACCTTCTGGAGTTGGACTATCTTCTCCTGAAAGTCTTGGCTTCCCAGTAAGGCAGATGCCTAAGTGAAATCAGAATTCTTAGGAAGAAAGAAAGGGTATAGCAAAAGGAGGGTTCCAGAGCAGATTTGTTGAGAAAGCTCACCTGTACTCCTTTGAATGGAGTATAGCAGTGTCCAGTTCCTTGATTTCATCAAGTGAATTTGAAATGTTGATCTGTGCTGCTCTTATTATAATCCCACATCTCCACAACTGCTGAAATCAATAATGGACATATTCTGTACACATTGAGAAGATGAGGAAAGGGGAGTGAGACAAAGCCTCCTCCTCTCTCAAAAACCCAGTAACTGCTAGTGGCTCCCCTAGGATGAATTCTCTCCTACCTCATTTGGATTAATGAAATTAATTAAATCTGGAACATTGAAATTTTTCGGAGTCAAAAGTGTTGAATTGATGAGTTTACCAGGAAAACTATAACTGTTCCTTACCTATGATCAACTAGGAAGAATCCTAAAGAGTATAAAACAGAAAAAAAATAAATTGATATATAGAATTTAGGGTGTTTTGGTTATTCACATATGTAGCTTTGTTTTGCTACATATGAAATTTTTTGGGGAAGAGGAAAGCAGTTTTCGGGAGAAGAGGAAAACATCCTTTCTAAAGGATGAAAAAAAATGGATGCAGGAAGATGGCGATGAATGACAAGTAAAACGGTAGCAGGCATGTGTGGGAGAAGGAGGGAAGGAGCTGTGTGCCTTTGTCACTATTATGTTGCTATGGTAATGAAGCAAAATTGGGCTGATAGTGCTTTATGAGTCTGTTTTGAATGAAGGACCAAATATGTGCACATAGAATGGCAAATTAAGTCTTTGGTAAATCAAAAGAACAGTCTAATTGTACTTCATCTAAATTCTGTATCATCTCCATAAAAATTCCCACATTTTATTGAAATAAAATCTTAAAGAAAATTCCAAAGATTTAGTAATAAATTTTGAGCTTGTTTTTGTGCATTTAAAAAATGAATAAAAACTTTACAATTACAAAGCACATGTTCACTGTAGAAAAAAATTTAAATGTATAAAAGAACAAAGCAGATGCTAAAAAAAGATTCATGATCCTGTAAACATACTTTGTGTTGCACCTCTTAAAATACCTAGCTATCCCTGATATATTGTAGTTACCCAATACATAGGAATTATCTTGATCATTAACAACCACACATAAGTGTGGCATTGTCGATAATTATTTGCTCACTTATCCATTGGGGTAGCTGTTCAAATATTACAGAAGTTACCCAGCAGGGGTCACATTGAGGTAGATCACTGAAAGGGATGGCAAGCCTGCCAAAGGGGTTCAGAAGGAGGCACTTACTTTTCTGTGACTTTCATAGGAAAAATATTAGAGTATAAGGAACATACATCTAACTACTTAGTCAAGATTTAGAAATGTCAACTCATATAACTAAACCCCACAGAGATGGCTGAATTTATACAAATTTATTAATTGTGGCATTAAGAAATTTAACTGCCAGGAAGATGGTGCATTTCTATCTATTATACAAATATATCTTCTTTTTGTTGTTCAACAACAACTACCAAAAAGAAAATCAGGTTATCAACAAACAGAATCAGGATTTAAATGTATATGTCAACCAGATAGGCTGCTGTCTTTCCTAGACAGTTCATATAGTCTATCTAGTCTTGGTACCATATAATTAACTACATATGTTTTCCCTTTCTAAACACAATTGTGGGAGGTCCTGATTGTAGAGGTTTAAGTCACATATGTATAGGCAAATTCTTGACTTATTTCCTCAGATGTCTGTTGTGGTTCATCATTTGTTGATGTCACTACTTTAACTCTTGGGGTAACGAGGCCAGCTTGTTTTTCTTTAACACTATGTAGTACTTCAATGGTCTCTGTTGGATTGAACATTTCCACAGATAGCTTTAAAAGGTTTCAGTCTGTTTTGTTAAAAGTTTATAGAATAAAATGTTAAAGATTTCAGGCATAACTTGAAAATATCATTTGCTTAACAAATATTTCTCAAGTACTTACTGAAAAAATAAATGGAGTAACTCATCAAGCCCCAGGACTGAGATTTCTCTAAACCATTAGAACTGCAATTTTAAAGCTATAGTGAGCTTCACTCGCATCTTCTGGATTTCCTAAGGGGAGAGGACTTGGCTCAGAAACTCAACTTGGAGCCACTTTAAAACACATTTGGTGTGGGACTATGCGGAAGTAATTATGTGGAAGTCAGCTGAGAATCATATGATCAAGGGTCTCCTGGGAAGATAAGTCAGGTATCACGTGAATGTTTGAGTCTGAGTCTAAGACCAGTCAGGATGGTCATGGCCCCACCCTCAGGCTGGTCAGTTCCTTCTGTGAATTTCTTGTGATCCTAGGTGGTCCCAAAACTAGACCAGGTAATGTTACTTATTTGGTCCAGATTGGACAGAGAAGAAAGCAAAGCTGGGAGGAGGCTGGTATACTGAAACAATGGGTAGATTGTAGACTGGAGTCCTGGGTGAAGCAAAAGATTAGGTTAAGTGTAAGTATGAGAGTGGGAGTGGTAGAGTCGGTTGTAAGAGGAGAGATGGCCATGACTAGAGAGCTAAATTTTTTTAAGAACGGTAAAGGAGTTCTAGCGTTAGAAATTTTTAGGATGTGGTCATGTGTATGAGTTCTTATTCATAAGCAGTCTTTTAACTTTTGGGAAATAATCCTTCAAAGTAAATGGTTCTAGAAGAGTCTATATATCCTCTTGGCCACAGGAGTTGATGTATCATCCAAGCCAATCAGAATTCCTCCACAGGATTTTTCAATACTTGGGGAAACAGGTGGTAGAGAAAAGAAGGATAGCCTCACTGAGGACTGAAGTGTGAGAATCTGACTCTCTTGAGGGCAAGCTTTCCTTCTAAAGGCTCAGTGATTGAGTCTGCCAGCTCAAACTGACAGACAGTAGGCAGACTAACAGAAAAGGTATACACATTTATTAACATACCTTAGTTACCTTTTATACTGCAATCACCAAAAGACCAGACAAGAACAACTTTAGAGGAGGAAAAGTTCATTTGAAGCTCACAGCTTTGGAGGTCTCAGTTAATAGATAACTGACTTCATTGCTCTGGGCCCTGGGCAAGGCAGAACACTAAGGTAGAAGGGCATGACAGAGGAAAGCAGCTCAGGACATGACAACAAGGAAGCAGACAGAGAACTCCCCTCAACACTCACAAAATATCAACCCCAATGGCACATCCTCAATGACCCACCTCCTCCAGCCACATCCATCCTACCTGCTGTTACCACCCAAGTGGTCCCTATCAGGGTTGTACTGATTGGGTTAAGGCTCTCGTAACCCAATCATTTCACCTGTCAACTTTCTTGCAATGTTTTACACATGAGTTTTTTGGGGGGACACCTCATGTGTAAACCATAACAATGCCTAAGTGCATGGGAGCCACACAAATATGAAATTCAGAGAAGGGCCAGAAGATTAAGGCTTAACCACCATCTTCTTGGGGCAGAGGAAAATGGGGGATGAAGACAGTTTGGGCAGGGGAATAAATGAATTTTAGTAGGCAATAAGTGCACCCCCCAAACAGATACTGGCCTGGGGCAAAATTCCTTTGGGCTCTAGATGTGGTGTTTGATTTTTAGTCTCTTCCTCTGTGATGTAAGTTTCATCTTCCTTGGACAATGACATTTCAGTAAGACAACTGGAAGAAACTATGTTCCTCTTTGGTAGATGCAGTCTGTGGGACCTTCAGAGGATGCCTCCTGCTTCACTTGCTTCTCCTCAGGTACTCTAAGTTTTAAGACAGATGTTGAAGTATCGTTTTCTGTACCCCAATACTCCCAAATTCATATTTCCAATGCTACATTCTCCTTTGTCCTTCAGAAACCCTGCAGACATCTCCATCTGAATACCTCATTAATCTCTGGCCCAGATGGAGTTCTTCATCTGCCCCCACCCAACCTGATCTCCATTGCTGTCAGTGCACTGGCCACCTAAATTAGAGTGTAGAAGTAAGTGGTCCTCCGCATCCCCCGCTGCCTCAGCCTAAACACAATCACTGAATCCTGTTATACTTTATCAACATTTGCAAATTTCTTCTCTCAATTTCCAATGTTTTTTGGCCTTGGTACAGACTTTTACCACAGGCTCTTCACTTGTCTTCTTGTCTCTTGTCTTAAAAAGCTCCAGTCTATTCTGTCTAATCTCCACCTCCCCACACAGCCCCCTGGATAGAAGAAACTTTTCCCTTTAACTTCAAGGTTCCATTCCTGCTCTCCCTGGCACCACTTCCTTGGATGCACCCTTGTCCTCCAGTTGCTGCTGCCAGAATCCTTCCATTCTTTCATGTTCCAGACTTGAGCTCAAAGGCTGCTCCTTTTGCCTTAAATTCCTCTTTATTTTTTCTTCCTGTTTATGCCTGAAAATGGGACTTGAGTAGAGCCTTCTCCAGGTATCCTTTGATGACAGCTTTCACATTAACCTCCCTGGACATGTGCACTCCCACAGCACCGAGAACTATGCTAGCAGAGGACTTGCCGCCCTGTCTTGTGATTACAGATCATTTGTCTCACTTCCTCACTAAGCTGCAAGTTCTTTGAGGGAAGAGATTTGAGTCTTACTCAAATTTGAATTCCATTGCCTGTTTTGACTCTAACATACACTAGGTCCTAATCAACACCAACTGAAGGATAAATAAATGAATGAGTGCATTCAGGGAAGATACATCACTCACTATAGTTCTTGATTTTTGGAACCCATTTCCTTCATGTGTAATGATTATTCTTTGAAGCACTGTTAGATCATGTCTTTCTAAATATTAAATCCTCATCAAAATTTCTTTGCCATCAAAGGTTAATCTGGGAAAAAACCAAAAACCAACTAAACTAACAAACGAAACACACAACAGTCAAATGACTTCATTTTTACAGATGAAGAAACTCAGGCACGAACAAATTAAATGACACCCAGAAGCACACTATTGGGCCAGCTGGGATGCATCTTTGGGTTCCTATGTTCTGATTTGGTGCTTTATCCACTTTCTCAAGCACCTGAAAATGTAAATACTTTTGATCTTGTTTTTAAGGAAAGCATTTTTGTGTGCTTCTAGCCTTAGGAAGGGAACACTCCCATCTGCAGATAGCTCCAAGTGTATATTTAACCCCTGTCTGAATTGTCTTCCTTGGGTATTTCAGGGCTGGGGAATTAAACAGGGTGCCTCCAATTTGGCTTCCCTTCACCTCCGCATACTTCAGAAATGCCAAGGAAGGAGAAGCTGAACTTCTCCCCTCCCCAGGCTGTGAGGGGAACTTGGCTTCTGAAATGGGATCCACTTGCTCAGACAATGTTCCTTCCTTGTGGGTTTGAAAAAACAAAAAAAAAAAAAACAAAAATATTCACATGTTAGTCATAAAACTAAAGCATTTGGTGCTGGAGGTGATGGAGTGGGTGTTCATGAAGTAAGATGCAAAGGTGAGAGCCATTTTCATCTTTTTTTTTCATAGAAACCTGGACTTAATTTTAAGACTTACCTGATTTTCATGCTTACTTCTATTCCCCCCCCCCCGCAAATTCTCTATGTATCTGCCATATCTATTAAAATCATCCCTCCTGATTTTTCCTTTAGTTTTTGTGATCACTGTACTTATTGCTTATGGCATTTACATATATTTAGCAAGTTAGTTTGACTGGGGTTTCCTATTAGATCAGACAAAGACAAGTTTATTAGATATTTGATTTATTTGAATTGCATTAATGTTTATAAGAGAATATTTTATAGACGGCTGTTAGTCAAATATTGCCTTTCATCACCCTTTGAGGTTTTCATGTTTCTTCCTGTCTCTGACTGCTAAGGATGTTTACTTACCCAAAGAATAACAGAAAAAAAAGAAAAAAAAAAAAAAACCAAAACATGAACATGGGGACATCTTACTGAGACTTCTAGGCTACTGGGTTTTGCTTTGAATCATAGATCGAATAACATTGTTGTGTGTACATGTGGTGTGTGTGTTTATATGTATGTCTCTGTGTATGAGTATAATATTTGCACATAAATGTGTAAGTATAGCCATAATGTATGCCTGTTGGGTGTCAGATCAAAACACCCTCAGAAACATATTCTCTGTTATGGTCAGAAACAATTTTGGGCACTGGGCAATTCCAAGGCAGTATAATTAAGGTAATTAAATAACCAGCTATCTCTTTTTTTTCACATCACATAGTATCACAAAATTTTAGCTTTCTTAAATAAAAAAGACACTCCAATTATTTATTGAAAACATCTGAATCAATTTCTTGTTTGCTTATTGATGAAGAATAATAAATATTCTAGAACCTTAAGTTTGTGATTACACAATAGGAAAAAAATTTTTTGGACTTGTTATTGCCTTTGATTCCCTTGTTGGTTTTTTCCCCTTCTTCCAGATTCCCTGTCCTCTACCCTACATCCTTCTCTGACGCCTCCAAGAATGCCAGTCCAAGCAGCCTCAAGCTTCCAGTAGGGGGTGCTGTTGTCTAATACAACAGCCTATTGTTCTCAGAATTTGGTTATCGCTTCAGATCATTTCTAAACTTTGCCCTTTCCCAAGATTTAATCTGTTTAAATTGATATTGGTTATTTGCTCTTAAGTTTACTGTGAATTTAATCTGTTACTGTTTAATACATGAAAGTGCGATTTTGGTTGCTGCTGCTGCTTCACTGCATGAATTTTCCCCAGAATGTGTTCTGAATGTCAGGAAAATAATTGATGATTTTATTGTTTTAAAAACAATTAAATATTTGATTACTTCAAAAAATGCATGATGTGAATTGTTTGTATTCTGGAATCAAACTTGTATACTTAAGAATATACAAGTCTTGCCTAGAAAATTTTATTTTTCAGCTGGTGGAGATGCATTATATTTGCATTTTTGAGCCTGAATAATTTTAATTCCATTTTTATTGTACAAACCCAAGAGGAACATTTGCTTTGTTTTCACTGATTACTTATACAATTATTCTTTTCAGATACTACATGAACCATGAACCATAATATTATATTCCTTGCTAATACATTTTGGCAAAAGTATTTACATGAAAACACAATACATAAATGTAATGACTTTCTCAAATGAGTACATTGTTGCCGTGAAGCAATTACTCTTATTTTAATACAAGTAAAATTCATTAAATTTTTCTCAATTAGCAAAGCGACTTTTCCAAATGAACTAGTGAAGAAAAAACATTGCTTGTTTTATCCTAACCCAGCTCATTTGCCTTTTATTACCAGGTGCCTATTTGAGGATGAGAGAAAAAAAAAGAGAAGTGTTTAATTTTAATAAACTTGATGCAATGCTGACTCCTAGGGGATTAGGTATGGTTCTGACACACTTAGTTTCTTTTCAGTTAGTTTCAAAGTAAAAGTTAGATTTGAAAGCAAAAGGCTTTGAAGCAAAGATATTATGTTCAAGACTCTCTCATGTTGAAAAGTAGAACTTTGAGGCCCAAAGGAACAAATCCTTTGGATTGTAAACTTAATTTAAACAAAAGAATATTTTATTGTTTCCTCTCTCACTAAAATGTTGAAGTCTCAGTAAGTCTAATAACCATCTGGTACCATTTGACACAGAACAGTTGAGTTGAGCCCTCTGCCTTTAAGTGCAAATGTAGCCTTTTGGAAGCAAACATAATTAACTTTGAATTCACATTTATATAGCATAGATTTCAGATTAATTTATCTCAACCATTCTTTTCTTAATTAATTTTTAAGATCTGGTATTGGTTATTCATTTTATGTGTAGAGCAAAACAGTTTTTTTAAGATTAAAAAAAGATAATTATGCTAAATGACTCAAGGTATAGGATCTGTAAAATCTGTAGATATTCCTAATAAAACTGCAAGGATTAATAATATTAATTATCCTATATGTTGGGGTGGCTCCTACTTTTAAGATACTTAGTATCATGTATTCTAATTCTTGTAATACCTGTTTAGCATTCTTCAAATGGACCGTAAAACATCAATTAATATTTCTAAGGGTTCCAATCGCTAGTAATGTTTTTCTAGGATATGGGACAACTAATATGGTGTCTGTCTTGCAGAAAGCTAAAGTGCCTTTTGGGGTGTCAGATCAAAACACCCTCAGAAACATATTCTCTGTTATGGTTAGAAACAATTTTGGGCACTGGGCAACTTCAAGGAAGTGTAATTAAGGTAATTACATAACCAGCTATCTCTTTTTTTCATGTCAATAAGTATCACAAAATTTTAGCTTTCTTAAATAAAAATACACTCCAAATATTTAGTGAAAACTTCTGAATCAATTAGCTATATACAAAACATAAACTTCTGAATGCTAATTATGAGGCAAATTATCAATGTATTTTCTTGATATTCCAAATAGGTCTTAACTTGATGGGGTAGTGGTGGGATGGGGTGGGTAGAGTCGTAAAAATTTTTAAAAAAGGAGAAAGAGAAGAATATTCATGCCAGTAAAGAAAGGGCACATGGTATTCCCCATAAAAGGAAAGAGGCTCCTCAGAAAGATGGCAGATTGCAGGTATAAGGCTGGGAATACACAGCTGTGTCTAGAGCTTCTGGTAGTGCTGAGAGTGAGGAAGTGCTAAACACACACACACACACACACACACACACACACACACAAACAGGCAAATGAGGCAT